ACTTACTTTCCACATTTGTGTTCACCTTTACTGATCTCAGTAAGAGTCATAACAGAAGATAAAAATGCTATTATTTCAAATATTTCCCATCAAGGAAAGTTCTCTTTTGTATCAAACATAATATCCTGGGACCATTTGGTTATGCTAATTTACTACACTCTGTAATGATTATCACAACTGCATATGTAGTCTCTCTCTTATTTATTACTATCCAGAGTCAACATGACTTTACAGAAGGTTGTTATCTCAAATTCTTCCAGTTGTTGTATCCAATCACATCAGCTAAAGAAAGGATAGTTAAAGATTTGTATGACTGGTAAGTCTTAGGAGTTGCTCTAGCTTCAGATAAGATTGAATCTAGGAAGGTCAAATAATGCAATCAGTTTTCTCTCTTGGTCTCTAGACTCTACTGTCTTTTTTTTTTTTTCTTCTTAGTTTCACTCTCAAGATGATTCTTTTCATAATGCAGCAAAGATAGTCACAAGGAACTTAAGGGTCACACATGGTCTTCAGTGCTCAAGCTCTCAGAATGAGAGAGATCCATTTCTTTTCAGAATTTATATTAATTTACAGAAAAAAACTCAACAACTCTAATCAACTATGCTAGGACCAAGCATGTATGCATGGGATAGACTATTTTGATGAGTAAGAGTCTAAAAGAGGCAAAATCACGTGGTTGACAGTCCCACTAGTATGATGTGAAGTGGAGGAGGGACAGTTCTCAAGAAAAGAGAGGCTCTGTTATTAGAGGTAAGAGTAGTAGTCAGGAAAAAGCACCTGGGAATTGGTACGAGAGGCAAGAAAAATGAGGGCAAATAGGAAGGGGAGTCATATTTACTGCTCTTTATCTCACTCTTGATAAAGCTTTTCAAGAAGCTTCTCTGGAATTTTAATTTCTCTCCATATGAGTTACATAGGACCCTTATTTATTCATTCATTTTCTTATTTAGTTTCAATCATTTATTATATATCTTCTGTTGCAAATTTAAAAATGACCAGTATTCCATGCATGGACTCTTGGCTGTGAAGGTTGGGGGTGGTTTATATGGGAGTAAGATATATCCTCTGCCCCCATGAAATGACCAATTTAGTAACAGTGCTATATATGTGTAAATGCAGACACATATATACCTATTTCTAGCACACACAGACTACCATATGAAAATAGGGCATGAGTGCACAGTAGGAGTGGTTGAGTATGTCTACCTGGATCTTGGACTTGAAGTGTGGCTGAGATCTCACTGATTGAAGAGAGCCATGAGGGATATTCTTTCCATGAACAAGAAACAGAATGACAGATTTAATGCATGAATATGTGGTTCAAATGACCTTTACCTACTTTGGAAATGGGAAACCCATCCAAAGGCTACTTTTAGGGCATAATTTAGTACTGGATATGGGAGTTTAGGCTATGCTGGAAGACCCCTCGTTTTACTTTTAGTTATTTTTATAATTTATATAAAATATTGTCCCTCTGGTTGGGTAATTAATACTTTCTAGGAAGGAAGCAAGTCTTAGTCATTGTTATTTTTCACTACAGAACAGCAAATATTTCTTGGCCATACAAGCGATATGATTCACAACCTATGTCCCTATTCTCTTTTCTCTTTTACAGCTTCAGTCATCAATAGAAAATGATGAAAAACTTGATGTCTGTCCCTAAATTCTTTATTTATGAGTTTGAACATTTAAATATTTGTGATACACTCCACACAGGCTGCTGCAGGTTGGGTGGGTCTTGGAGCCTCTCTGTCATATCATGGATATATTCTCTCAACAGAGAACTTATCTTGACTATGGAACATGCCATTTTTATACAAAACCATCTCATTAATGCTAACTAGTAGCTATTGCATTTCACTTACTCCCCAGTAAACCTAAAATGAGTCATCATATTTTATTCAACACAGATAGATTGAATCCTTAATATATTCCAGACTTTGCTCTACATGCTGTGAACAAAGAACATAGCAAACAAATACAAGGACCTTATTGTTAGGGAACTTAGAGTTTATTGTGAGTAGAACAGGTAAAAATTACACATTGAACTAAGCTAATGAGATTATCTTGAAGAGCGATACAGATATATACTCTTATGAAAAGAATACATGGTGAAGCCATTATGACTAACAGAGAGATGGAGAGACCTAAGTTTAAGATTGTGTAGTCAGGAAAAATTATCTAAGACGGGAGTGACCCAGATGATGGGTCATGGAAAGGAGTTTAGAAATAATTAAATTAAAAGGCTCCCCCACCCTTACATGTGAATGATCTCATTTACAGCTTAAAAAGTTCAGTCTGGCTACTTATGTGAATAACTTCTGTTTCAAGATTAGAAGCAGAGCCACGCATGGCAGCTCATGCTTGTAATCCTAGCACTCTGGGAGGCTGAGGTGGGAGGATCGCTTGAGCTCAGGAGCGCAAGACCAGCCTGAGCAAGAGCAAGATGCCCAGTCTCTACTAAACCCCTGGGTGTTGTGGTAGTACCTGTAGCCCTAGCTGCTTGGGAGGCTGAGGCAAGAGGATGGCTTGAGCCCTGGAGTTTGAAGTTGCTGTGAGCTATGATGCTATAGCATTCTACCCAGAGCAACAGAGTGAGACTATGTCTCAAAAAAAAAAGGATCAGTTATTGCCTGAGTCCAGGGAAGAGGTAGCAATAGAGATAGAGAAGAGGAGGAAGATTCTCTACACATATTGTGGCAGAATTTTGAAATGAAAGAAGCAAGGCTAATTTATGACTACTTTATGGATCTTGGAAACATTTTTGAATTGGAGAAGATAGGGATGAACATGTTTTGGAACACAAATCAAGAATTCTGCTGTCATCATGTTGAGTTTGAGATGCCCCCTATATAGGTAAATGGGGAGTGAAGTAAACAATTGGATATGCAAGTCCTATGCTCAGGGGAGAGATCAGAGCATCTGAGTGGGAGAGTGGATATCACCCCAATAAGGCCAAGGTAGAGCAAAAGTAGATATGTAAGAATGAACCCTGGGGAACCCCAACTAGATATGTAAGAATGAACCCTGGGGAACCCCAAAGTAGATATGTAAGAATGAACCCTGGGGAACCCCAACTTTAGAGGCCAGGCAGCGGTGGGGGATTGGCAAAGGAGAATGAGAAGGAATCTCTAGGGAGGCAACAGGAAAACATACTACAGTCATATCAAAAGAAAGTGAGTGAATAACACACCCTCCCTAAACTGCCCACCCATTGTAATTAAAATAAAATCCACACTCCCCACGGGCCATCCCAGATCTAGTCCTAGCTGTCCCCTGCAACCTCCCCAGGCTCTCTCTTGCCTATGTTTCCTGGCTGTCCCTTTCCCCTTATGAGGGGAAAAATAAGGAAATGGGACCTCTATCTCCAAATATTAATTTTACAATTACTTCATGATTCCACCTAAAGTGCTTCTCCTCCGAGATGCTTCTTTGACGCCCCGACCAGTCCCCGCCATCACCACCACACCATCATCACATCTCCCTGAAATACGCTTTCTACATATGCCTTTATTATGGATTATGGAATCATTTTCTATCTTTGTTTCTTTTCTTATCTTTTTCCTTTATTAGATTCTAAGATTATTGATGGCGGAGATTTCAGGTGTCTTTTCGATCACTGTTATCTCTAAAGACTAGAACAGTTCCTGGCACGTGACAGGGACTTAATAAATATTTTTGACCATCTGTGTGTATACTAGACATTGAACTGTTCAAATAAATAGAAACTGTATTATTTGCTGGCCAAAGGAATATCAGACTTAAGATATCCTCTTCTAATTGTTTATTCCCAGATGTGGCAAGAGTAGGTCAGGGGCCCAGTGGTATCTGGGGCATGGTGAAGAGCACAAAATTAAGGAAGAATATAGTACCAAATTGCCTTACAATAATTACAATGCATGTTCAACTGAAATTCTTGTATCTATCACTCCTTCTTGTTTAAGTCTTAGGAAGGCCTATTAAAATGTAAATGAGAGTGATTAAAATGTTAACCTACATGTGTAGAATATAGGAACCAATGTTGTTGAGTATGTACGTAATGGGTTTCAAGCATGTTTTAAACAGTGGAATGAAGTCCAGATCACATACAGGTAAGAGAGGTTGATATTCTACAACAGGGGTAGTGGGACTGGGACTCTGCCCTGCAGCCAGCTCTCCTAACTCCTGTCCCTCAAGGCAGTGCACTGAGTACCACCTGTGGCACCCAGCGGTTTGCAGATCACAAATCTTAGACTAAACCATGCATTTGAGAAAGTGAGGCTTAGAGAGCTGAAGTGATCTAGCCAAAGTCTCAAAATGACAGTCAGCAACAGGATTACAGCCCAACTCCCTGAATTCTAGTGTACTATGCTTTAACTTATGTTATTCACAGACTTGTAAATCCTTTCAATGCTGTAGAATTGTAATCCCAGCAATGGGAGTTCCTATAGGGAGGGAAGGTTTTCAGGATCCAAGGATCCTGATTTACAATTCTCTTTACGATTGGGAGAATTGCCACACAAGACTTCCCTTCTCACTTGGAAATCATCTTGAGCTTGTCTTTGGTGGTAAAAATAAGGAAATGGGACCTCAATCTCCAAATATTAATTTTACAATAACTTTATTGCCGTGAATTTTCATACACCAAAGGCATCTTGCCATCCCATTGGTGAAGAGTGGCCTGCCTCTGATCAGGAAGGGTAGATTCTTTCCATGAATATGTTTAGTTCCATTTTTTTTTTTTTCAGTTTTTTGGCTGGGGCTGGGATTGAACCTGCCACCTCTGGTTTATGGGCCCAGCACCCTACTCCTTTGAGCCACAGGTGCCAGTCTAGTTCCATTTTAAGTTGAAGCACAGATTAGAGCCACCTGATTTAGCCTAACTGGTGACTTATGTATGGATCAGCTATAGAATAGATTCTCTGCTCCTACTAATTGGGAGTTCACACAGCATCTGGCCCATTAGCAGGCACCCAGTAATACACTTTTATACTTAAGCAAATGAGTCGCAGACATGTGTATTATTTAGCAAATGTAGTTTAATAATATATTAACCTGGTTTCTGACTACATATTCTGGTGGGTGTACGTTATTTGTGCCATATGCAATTGTTATATCCCAGGCATCAATGATGCCCACATTGAGATCCTGGAAAATGTCTTTTATGGTAAGATATTGAATGTAACCATGAAAGTCACCAAATCTCTCCACATCACTGTCCATCTCCCTGATGTTTTCCAATTTGATGATGACCATGGTGTCTGGACTTCTCAGTAGAAGACGCTGAACAGCCTTGTGGACATTGAGGACCCTTCGGATAAAAACATCAATGGGGTAGGGTCGGAAATGCTGGCCCAGAGAAATAACAATGATTGTATTTTTATCTCCTCCAGTTCTGTCGATGGCCCGGGCAATGTACTCAATCTCTTTGACTGAATAGGTGGTTGATCCAATCAAGGGGTAACCATGTTTTTGCCACTGGATAATTATATTCCTATCCAAGTCCACAGCAAGTTGGTGTTTCAGTTTTCCAGATTCATGCAGATCCACTGGCTTCAGTGCTGATGAGAAGTGGCCATCCCAAAATGAAAGGAGAATAAAGTTACAATGATTGACTAGTCATGAGGAGAGGAGAAAAGATTTGATCTTTATAATTATTAGCTTATAAACAAATAAGCTAATTGTGTCTGATTTGTTACAGGCTTCAATGAGGGGATAATTTAAAAAATTGTTCAAATTAAAAAAATTACGTATGTCCTCTTTCTAGCAAATGCACTGGAGGGGGCAGGGTATTGAGGAAACTTCACTGGAGGTGAATAATACCTATATTTTTTATATATTTTGTTAATTATAGATTAAAGAAAGGAACTCATTGGTGGTCTTTACAAAAAATTTTCTTCAAATACTCTATAAATTTCCTTAAAACTAAGATTATATTCTTTACATTTCTGTTTCCTTCACATATGCATGAAATGCTATTGAGTAGACCATCTACAATAATAGCATCACTACTCATTTCTGAAACTCTTTATAGTTTACAAAACGTTTATTTAGATTTGTCTCCCATTTCACCTCAAAGATCCTCACATATATGTACATTTATTTATTTATTTTTTGAGATAGAGTCTTACCTGTATCGCTCTGGGTAGAGTGCTGTGGCATCACAGCTCACAGCAACCTCAAACTATTGAGCTCAAGCCATCCTCTTGCTGCAGCTTCCCAAGTAGCTGGGACTACAGGCATCTGCCACAATACCCTGCTAGTTTTTTTCTGTTTTTAGTAGAGACAGGGTCTTACTCTTGCTCAGGCTGGTCTCAAACTCCTGAGCTCAAGCGATCCACCGGCCTCAGCCTCCTAGAGCGCTAGGATTACACTAGCACCTGCCCTAATATATATATATAGTTATCATTGTTATAGAAAAGAAAACCCAGAGAGGAAAAGAGCTGTCCAAGATTACCCAGTTAGTAACAGAATCCAGCATTTAAACTTGAATTTCCTCTTAATTCTTGCAAAAATAGTCTACCTGTCCTTGACACTTGAGAAAGTAAGCACGATATGAATAGAATCAAATGAAGTCTTTCTGTTTTTTAGCATATTAATTAGACTCTTATCAGAAGGACAGAGCCAGCTGCTTTGTAGATAGAATTCTGAGGAAAATGCATAGAAAGGATTATTGATACTTTGTATCATGGGCCATGCTAGAAGTAAAGGGCTGTATTTGAAGGCTTAACTTAACCCAGTGAGGTGGGAAAACGGAGGTGCTGAAGTGCTGGCGGAGAAAAATGGCAGACCTGTTTTCTTTACTCTGCTTCCCCCTCATTTCAGTTTTCTTTTCCAAAGCATATTCTACCCATAGAACTTAGTTTTTAACAAAATGTATAACGGATGTTTTCCTACCACAACTTAAAAGATGAGTTGAAGAGGGCAGGTAACTTAATAACTTAGTGCTTTACATGATTAAGAGACCTACCACTATAGACTGTGATGCTGAAGGTTATTACTAGATGCTTCATTTTGCAGATGAGGAAACCGAGGTCTTGAAGTTACCAGAAGTCACAATTAAAGACCTCTCTTTCTGTTGAGAATTCTTCTCATAACTCAGAACCAAGGCCCTACTGATGTCCCTATTTTTCTTGGATCACTTTCCTCCTAAGTTTGAGATCACAAATGACCTTATGGCAGAAAGGCCTGGAAAAAGCCATAGGGACTGCATTGTTCTCAGTGATGACAGCCAGGGCCAGGGGACACAGAGGAGCAGGCAGTGCTTGTTTTCTGGGTGAGATCACTAAGGTCTGTTAGTGGATTTTGAGTTATTGCTGGTGCACTGTCTTGGTTAACCAAATAGAACAGCTGGTCTAAGATTCTATCCTGACCCTGACATCAATTATTAATGATGATAATTATAATGGCTATAATTTGGGGGGCACTTTCTACGAACCAATGTGCCTTACAATGTGTTAAATACAGTTTATCCACTACTTCATTTAATCTTCAAAACAAATAACGTGCTATTATTAGTCCTAGTTGGTTGATGAGGAAGATGAGGCAGGAAAAATAAACAACACTGCCTAAGGTCAATGCTTCTAAGTGACACAATCTAAGTCTATTAGGCCTCAAAGCCCAGGCTTTTAACTATCATGTCTACCTGATGCAAAGTCATTGCCTTGCTCCTGGCATTTGCCCACTCAGATAATAATAGTGATAATACTTTACACCAAAGAGAACTTATTTTGTAACAAATGGTATTTTATATGCATTGTATATATTACCTCGTTTTACTAGAGGTGGGTACTCTTTTCATCTCTAGTTGACAGATGAAGACATTGAGGGATGGAATGATTTTGTAACTCATTCAAGGTCACCCAGATATGAGGAATTAGGTTTTGAACCCAACTGATCTGGATCTAGAACCCACACCCTTAATCATCATGCTAACTACAGAAGGTGGACAATTATCTTTTGCTCCATTAATAATTTTCTGAGCATGCCAGGTACGTAGTAAAGTATGAATTCTGCAGGCAGAGGGTACAATAAGCCTTTTTCTACACTGGTTCCCTTTCAGCCAGTTAATGTGTTCTTTTAAAAGAAAGATAACAATGTCTTAGGGAAAGTTTTGGTGTGCTGTGATTAAGAAATATGAATAAGAAGACAAATTTCCCATATATTTTTCTCCCCTTGAAGTGAAAAAGTATTTTCTGAAAGGGATATGAGTAATAGCTTAGACTGAGGCATACTCTGGATACTGGTTTTGAAGTATTCCATCCACTGGCGGACTGTGGAATCTCCCATTAGATAAATGAATTTTCCTCTCAGGCATTTTTTCATATCGACTGCAGCCAAACTGCAGGAGACAGGATTCCATGTGTTTTTCCAGACATACCCACTGGGGGCTGTGGATGTCATTCCAGGCTTGCATTTTTCTTTCACTGAAACTGTTACTTCTGCCAAAGAATAAGCAAGACAGGATATTCTAAAACATCAAATTATCCATCTGTATATATTAAGACCCTTCTATCTTTCTACATATCCTCTTAATCAAGGATGAGACTTATTAGTGCATCCTCTTAATGGAATAGCTATTTTTTAGTAAAGTTTTTCTCTGAATTGAATTTTCTAAATGATACCCATTAATGTTCATTACAAGAGCACATGCTTCCTCCCAGAAAAAAGTGGTCTTCTGGGTAAAATTTAAGTATTTGTTAGCCTTTCGGTGAAAGTAAAATCATCAACTTTTGCATAGTAATGGAAGCTCAATTATCGTATCATTTTAGCCCACTTTACCCCTGATGCTCTGTTACAGGGTCTTAAATATCACCATTGAACTACGAATTGTTTAAACAAAATACAGACAATATATAAAAATAAATTAACAACTAGTTTGTCCTGAGAACTGACCAATTTGAATGCATATGGCTGTAGGCCAGAGAAAGTCCTGGAGGTCCACCATGGGGTGAGGATTGGTCACTGGTTTATGAGGAGTCTGAGAATCTGAGAGGCTGAAGTGCCTTAGATGGTATAGAGCCCATGGCAGGTTTGGGATAGTCATTATTCATCAATTAAAGGAAGGAGTTTAATATTTGAACTGGGATGTATGTGGGGCGAAAAACAACACCTACACATCTAGGTACATGTTTATACTTCAGTGTAGATTAGTGGTTAGCAAGCTTTTAATGGGGAACTTAAAAGCTCTTGCCTTAAATCATTTTAGATGGTTACCTGGAATCAAAGAAATCAGTAAATATAAGTGTGGAATTTCTGTTTTGTATTTTTAAGATTATTTAAAAGGTGACAAAGACCAAGAGAGGGGAAATGTAGTGAATTGACTTCCAGATGGTAGGTTGGAAACTTCCAGATGAAGTTGGGCTGGTAGTGATGTGGGAAGTGCTAGAGGTAGGGAGAGGGGTAGGGGGAGGGAAGTAAGAATGAAGTGTAAAATTGGGAGAGGGTTTTAATGTTTAAAGGTGGTTGTGTAAAATTGGCAGCTAATCCATTGCCTGATAAGTGGACTGTTGGTTAGAGTTACAGTAGCTGGAAGAGGTTTATGATAGCCCAGTGATTCCAATTATTCTCTGACTTAAGTAACTGGCATCTTGGCCCACCTTAGGTAAGCCAGGTGAGCCAAGTGCTGATAGAACTGAAACAGTGAACATGTCTAACAGAAAGAGGAAACCGTTCAGAGGAGTTTAGAACTACATACCACCCACCAAACACAGGAGCACTTACTGTTGCATCTGGAGACATTGATCACGTTGAAGTTTTCCATAATCTCTACACCCACGTTTGACCTTAAAGAGAAAAATACAGAAATTAATTTGTAAGTGGCCCCAAATCGGGAAACAAGAAAGAGGCCAGGTTATTCAGTGCTTCAGTTATTTCTTACTGATAAGTCAATCATCATGTCCATACTTTCAGGCTATTTAGTAAATATCCATTTCTTTGCCTAATACTCACTCCATGGGATTTAGTTATGCAGAAGGCATGACAGGTAATTTATTGAAATGCAGAAAGAATATATTAGAGCTTATACTCATACACACATGTGTATTTCTCATTCTCTTAGTTTTTATTCTGCCTGTATTTTTTATTTCATTCATAAGAATTAAACATCCAAAAAGTCTGGGGACTATTAGAGAGTATGTACTGTCCCCAGGTGAGTTCATAGGTCCTTTCCCAAAAGGATCTTATTAAAGCCTCTTGGAGTTGATATACTCATAAGATTTTTCATTGGATTGACATATAGGCTAAGTCGTAACATTTGCCCTGTTAGTCTGAAATAATGATTTACCTTTCAAAGAGGATCTTTTCCTGTTTGCTAAGATAAGAAACATCCTTGTTCTTGGAATGCACGTGGCTGAGTGCAGCACAGGGAATGTGCTGAGGCTTCACACAATAAAAGGCTTCTTGGTCTTGAGCATCCAAGTACTGGCACAGTTCAGCACTTGAGTTTAAAACCAGGGCACAATCAGCATTGACTTGGGAGGTGCCACTGGAAAACTGGCCTGTGAAGATTACCTTGTCGTAGCCTTGGTTCCTGGCTCTCCAGAGAGCTGATGCTCCTTCACTGGGGTGAATGAGCAGGATAGACAGGGTGACCTGGCCCTCCCAGAACAGAATGAAACTGACAAGGTAGGTGCCATTGTTGAAGTCAGTCACCTTTCCTGCAGCTCCTGCCTGCAGGGCTGGAGAAGACATTCTTGCCCTCAGGAAATCCCCGCCATACTGCTTCCTGTGCCCCAAGTGGTCCCTTGCCTCCAGCATGATGTCCAGCTGGTCTCCCCTGCAGTATGTGTGTCGAGGTTTGATGATGGTGGCTGTGCTGTGTGTGGCGCTGGTGGTGGTGTTCACATGGGTGAAAGGTCTGGGTGGTATCTGCTGGTCTAGTTTCTTCACAATTTCCTGTATTCTCAGATCAATCTCTGCTGCTGAAACTACTGGACGCAGCGGTGGTTCAGGCCATGAGGGTTGTGTGTTAAAATTCCAAGGATTGAGGGAGATGGGCAACTTGAATGCAGTCCACAACTGAAAGGACAAGAAATTGAATGAAGATGTAGGAAATGTTCCTATTTAATGTAGTAATTATTGGTGGGTTAACCAATGTTTGTGTTTTAAAGAATAATAAAAGGTACAAAAATGAAATGAGACTGGGATGTTATGCTCAAATATGTCTCATAGCTAAAACACTTTTCTTTAGAAAATCTGTTGGTTTTTGACTCTACTTCTCCCTGGCTAATCTTTTTTAAGAAGAGCAATTTAATCCCAAAAAGCTCTAAGTATCTTCCTTAAAATAATGGTGATAAAATCAACTTCACAGGACAATTATGAAGAACAAAGGAGAAAATGTTTCTCTCAGTAGAGAATAAATACTTACTATTATATTTTTTTAAACTTAAAACTAAGATGTAGTCGAAAATATTTAATCCCAGACAAATAAAAGCCAAAGGAATTCATCAGCACCAGACCCTGCTTATAAGAAATGCTAAAGGGAGTTCTTTAAGCTAAAAGAAAAAGATGCTATTTAGTATCCTTAAAACATACGGAAGTTTAAAACTCACTAGTAAAAGTACAGTCAAATTCAGAATACTCTAATATTATTATTATGATATATAAAACACTTATATGTTTCATATGAAGGTTAAAAGACAAAGCTATTAAAAGTAGTAATAACTACAGTAATTTGTTAAGGGATAAGCAATATAAAAAGATGTAAATTGTGACATCAAATTATTTTAAATGTTGGGGGTTGAAGTAAGAGTGTAGAGTTTTTTTAATGCAAAGTTAAATTATCAGCTTAAAATAGCCTGTTTAACTATAAGAATTTTTTGTATTTCTCATGGTAACCACAAAGAAAAAACAACCTATAGGGAGAGGAGAGGAGAGGGGAGGATGGGC